AAACTTCCAGGCTTGTATTAGACTTGACTCAATGCACATGTGACTGCATCCTCCAACTAACCTTCTAAACATCTACCAGATGTCAACAGCTCAGAAGACTGCCTTAGGCAGTGTCTCTGCATGAGATCCGCAGCAGGATCGATGGCAAAACGCTTGTGGAGTAGAACAACAGGACAGCACAGAGGACAGAGTGGCTGGCTGGCAAAATAAGGATGCTGGTGCATGCACTGTACTTCTGTCATGTCAAGAGATCCTTTTTCACCTACTGCCACACATGCTGATATCAATACAGTCTAAAGACCCAACTAAAATACAGGCTGAAACCTATGCAGGGAGACTTCATATTCCTACACAAGTTAATGTTACCAAAACACCCTGTGAATTATTTTTCACAACAAAACATAAGCAAACGTGGGAAGCAAACTGCAATTAGGTCTTGAAGTTGTCTGGTATACCAAAGTATTTTGTGTACTCTGGACTTCATCCAAAGCAAACATTCAACTACTTTTCTTTTAACACATCTGGAGATCAATAAATATTGTCCTTCCCCTAGCAGTAGTCTCACACAAACTAGCTAATATGCATCAAAAAAATAGAAAGTAAAGTAATTTCTGTGGTCACATGAATGATCTGGCTTCACTTTCAAGTCCTACCACAGATTTCCTCTTCGATTCTATGTAAAAGAGTTAACCTATTTTTACATCTCCATCTGCCAAAGAGGGTAAATAACACCTGCCTCCTTTCTGGTAGTTTACGAGGCTCTGAGGGCACATCCCTACCACAGGTGCAGGCACACCCAAGCTGGCTCCATATGAGGAGGACTAATTGTATTCCTCATTTTTTTAGTGATTCAAATTAGAATACCCAGTATTCAATTTACCAAAGTGCTGAGTGCTCAGAACTACAACTTAAGTTAAAGGGAACTCTGCTTGGAACAATAAAATGGATATATATTAACTGTATAATAGTAAGTACACAGAAAAATCAGGCCAAAGGCACCTCCAGTGGGCACCCAAAATGAACAAGCATGTCTGAAAGAAAATTCAGTGCCTCAGGTCCTCCCTTCTTAAAACAAAACCAGCTTTATACCTTTTGGGATGTTGTAAAGACATCATTCACTCATACTGTAAGGCACTTAATAGCTAGAATGCTTAGTTTTAAAAAGCAAAAAATTCTATCTGTAGTGCACAATTTAAGTGATCTGCAGTAAATAAGGCATGGGCTGGAGAGCGAGGACAGAGGGCATTGAGTAGTATCATTTTATACGCTTACAGAATCATAGAATAGAATCATAAAATCAAGCAGGTTGGAAAAGACCTCTGAGATCACCAAGTCCAACCCTTGATCCACTACCACCGCGGTTACTAGACCATGGCACTAAGTGCCACATCCAGTCTCATCTTAAAAACCTCCAGGGATGGTGAATCCACCACCTCCCTGGGCAGCCCATTCTAATGTCTGATCACTCTCACCGTAAAAAATTTCTTCCTCAACCTAAACCTCCGCTGGCAGAGCTTAAGACCGTGCCCTCTTGTCTTACTGATAGTTGCCTCGGAGAAAAGACTGATGCCCACCTGGCTACAACCTCCTTTCAGGTAGTTGTAGAGAGTGATGAGGTCTCCCCTGAGCCTCCTCTTCTCCAGGCTGAACAGCCCCAGCTCCCTCAGCCTTTCCTCATAGGACTTGTGCTCGAGTCTCTTCACCAGCCTCGCTGCTCTTCTCTGGACCTGCTCCAGCACCTCAATATCTTTCCTGAGCTGAGGGGCCCAGAACTGGACACAGCACTCCAGGTGTGGCCTCACCAGCACTGAGCACAGGGGAAGAATCACTTCCCTGGTCCTGCTGGCCACGCTGTTCCTGTATTGAGGAACATACCCATAGAACAACACTGTGCAATTATATAATACAAATCAGAATGTAAAATAATGTTACGTAAACAAATTGTTTTATTTCCTACTGTTTTGTTGTCTGATTTTGTAACCATATTGATCCTTCACTACAGCTTTTTGCAAAATTTCATTTACCTCAGGATCCGCAAGTGGAAAACAGAAATCTTATTCCAATTCTTGCATAAATCCAGAGCAATATTTTAGAAATCAATGGAAAAAAGGTAACATAAATGAAAAGTCAAACCTTTTGGCTCCTGAAAAGTGCAAGCAAAGTTTAAGCATTTGAATTCAGTGTGCTAAAGCTAGACAGCAAAATAAGGTGTTACCTATAGACTGCTCACTTTTTTAAGTAATTCTTAAAGTCTAGTGAAACCTTACAGAGTATCAATATTGAACATTCTTATCTGTAAGTCATTAAGAATAGCAGAAGTTTTCTAAGTCCCCACCATGCAAATTTCACTTTTACTGCTACCCCTCCTCCACATAATCTCATGGTTTTAAATTTGGGTGCGATTCACACCTTTTATTCTTTCCCCTAGAAGTCAGATAACACAAGATATTTGTTGAGTTATCTGAAAAGATTAAGTGACATCATAAGGGTTCTGAGGAAGAAAGTAATCAGTACAACAGAGGGAATAATAAGGAAGCTGATTAGAATAAAGATACTGCTGTGATATAGCCCATTTGGGAATTCATGAAGGAAAAGATAAAATGATGAAAGAAGAGGAAAAACCAAGAGTAAGGGATAACAGTTCCATGCAAAGGAAAGAGAGGGAAAAAAAAATATATGACCTTATAATATCTAATTCTCCTACCAAGTATATACTAAATGGTAGTTCTGTCAGTGACTTGTATTTGGTCATGTTAGAACATGGTTCGAATAAAATAAGGAACTGTATGTCTGTTTTAACAAGTGCCAAGCCAAGCGATTTACAAAAACGCTTCACTCCTCATACCTGCAACAGCATTTTCCAAGATTCTTGCCACGTGCCATACAGTGACGGTTGTTTGGTTCTTCACCACACTCCATCTGAGAGGTGGTAGAATTTCAAGAGCATCTTGGTGTTGAACTCAGTTTTTCTTTCCACCTTGTAAATGAATAGTTCTGTCATCCTGGCACTGAAGCATTGCTCTGCACAGGGAAGTTCTGTGAGATGAATGGGGAAGGAAGAAGAGTAGAGGTATAATCATTAACGAAAAAAAAACAAAACAACAAAACATGTCTTAGGTGATGTCATACAAGTCATATCTCGCATACTTGAACTAAGCACTGTACAACAGTCATTCCTGTTCCATCTGCAGATGGAGACATCTGTTATTAGTTGTGCACAACATGTCAGAACAGGGCCTCTCTGGACCCCTTCTGACATAGTTCAACTTTGCAAGGTAAACATCATTCTCAAATCTTCAAGCTACATAAAAACTGTTGAAAGTGACATTATGAAAGCAAAGCTTGGGTTCTACTGAGACTATCAAATAATGTGTTGCATGGCACCTGGTGAACAAACACGGGAATAATTTGCCTCTCTGCCCCCCAGCAAGAGCTGGATTTGACATGACTCTACTGCTTTTAACATTTGTAAAGCTAGGGACTGCTACAAGGAAAGTTAGCCTGGCTACAGTGCTCAGTGGTGGGCATAGCCACCCACACGTGGTGTTGAGAAGAGGCTCCTTGAAGAATAGATGACAGAGCAACTGGTTCCCACTCACCAAAGTCCTGTATCCCAGCACAAAGTCAAGTAACATTCAAATTAAAGTATGACAGCTTTTAAAGATATGACACAGGGTGAACAGAACATAACCACAGACAGATAGGCTGTGCATGTGCTTACTGCCTTATGAGGAATCATACACCTTTCCCGAAATTATGTAAATCAGGAGTGTGGCACAGAGTTCTCCTGGGATCTGTAGGATCCAAATGCTTCCTAGTTCAGTGCAGGCAGTAGAAAAATTAAGTCTCCTGTAGCATGATCTCCACTGTGTTCATTAGGCTCTTGGTATCAGGGCTTCCTCTCCCCCACTGCATCACTACAGACTACACGTTCTGTTTTTGCTGCCTGCTAACCAGCTACCTCTGAAGAAGCTGCAGCTGCCTGTCTTGGGAGCTTTAAATGCTGACATTACCTGATAGCAACAGCACTGTAGCCTTGAATTTCCACGGCTGTGTTTTCACATCCCATTTAAAGCAAATCCTAAACCCTTCATATTACCTTGGGGCGGGGGAGAGGGCTGAGCCACACCTTGACCTCAAGACAGGACTCTGCCTTGCTTCCAAAGTGAGAATCAACAATTCAGTACATGACAGCGAACTTGTGCAGCGAGATCCCAGTTGGGTCGGTTCCTGGAGATCAAGATAAGGAGTGCCAGTGCTGTGCCTAGCTGGGGGCACCACCAGCCAGGAGGAGAAGCGTTGGAGTTACAAACGCCACGTTTTTGTGAGGGAAGCATTGCTATACCTGGGAGCTCACAGCACCATAGCCTCGCATCACTTCCACTTGCACGCGGCTGCAGCACGACGCTGGGCTCAGCTCCGATCTCCGCAGCATCCCTGGGGCTCGCTGCCGGCCGGGACCGGCGCTCTCGCCCCGGACCTGCCTGCTGGCCCCCCAGGACCTGTCTCTACCCGGAGAAGGCGGGTACCCGACCCCTCTTCACCCCCGGGGCGGGGGAAGAGGCGAGAGCAGTCCCCCGGGCAGGAGCAGGAACGGGGCAGGCGGGAGCCGCCCCCTGTGCCGGGCGGGGGGAGCGCCGGGCACAGGCTGCTCTCCTCGCGTATCCACCCGAGAGGTGGCCCCGGCGCTGCCTGGAGCCGCAGCCTCTTCCCTTCGCTCCCGCCCTCCCTCTCTCCCTCCCCTGTCCCCACCTCTTCTCCAAAACCGCAGGAGCCGCTGCAGCTCTGCTTCACTCGCTCGAGTGCCAGCGGCGGAGCGGGGCGGTCAGACCCCGCCGCAGGCACGGCCCGGGGCGGGAGCAGCCCCGCCGCCTCCCCGCCGCCCCTCTGCCATGGCCGGAGCCGCGGCCCAGCGCTGACGATGCTGCTGGGCGCCCCGCGGCCGGGAGGCTGGGATCGCGGCCGGGTGGGAGAAAGGCTGCAGGCGGCCCTGGCCGGCCTCCAGGAGCTCCAGGTGCTGCGGGAGAAGCAGCGGGAGCTGGTGCGGGCCGCCCTGGCCATGCCGCAGCGGCCGGCGGCGGGCGGAGAAGAGCAGTCCCTGTCCGCCCACAGCAAGGAGCACCGTCTGGAGGCCACCCTCTCCGCCCTGAAGGAGCAGCTGGTAAGGGACGGTACGGCACGGGACACCCCGTTACCCGGCTTCGTGAGTCCAGCCGCGGTGGTGACGGCGAGCGGAGGGGAGCGCCGCCGGGCTGCCGGACACCCGGCCCCGCCTCTGCAGCCGCCGGCGCCGGGACGGGACCGGGAGCAGGCAAGTGCTGCAGCCGCGGCCCCTGCGCTGCCCCCGCCCCGCCAGCCGCAGCTCCCCCCGCGGGCAGGTGCGAGTCGCGGCTACAGCCCCGCTATAGCAGGCGGGAGCTTCCTTTCCTCAGGCGGGGCTCACCTGGGCGGCCCGAAACAGACAGCGCTGGTAGCGGGCTCCGTGCCAGGAGAAGCGCTCGGGAGAAGTTGTTAATCCGGCACGGCTCATTCACCGGAGCCGAGGAGTAGGTGATGATTAACTTCAGCAGTACAGCGCTCGGCTCTCAGTGGCAGCAGCCGTTTGCATAGGAGATCAAAAGGCACACGGAGGGAGATACACATCCACAGACTAAGCGCCCGGGGGTTCGGGTGGGCGTGTGCGCGCACACCTATGTGTGCCCGCGCGGGTGTGCGCCCGTGGGAGTCGATCCGCCAGGAAAGGCTTCATGGGCCAGGAGCACTTTGTTCTTTCCACGGATTGCGTGATCAAAAGGGAAGAATAACTGAATGCCAGGCCTTGTATTTAAAGCGTTACGTTGGCAGCTTGCACAGCTCTTTTTGTGAAACTGAAAAAAACTGAATTGAAGCTGAAACGAGTTTCATAGGTGAGACAACAAGCAAAGGGTAAAGGGCGTTAATCTCCAGTGTGGGCAGTTACACACTTCAGTAAACTCACACTTAATTCAGAATTTTTTCCTTTCCTGTACTAGTGGAAGGCTCAGCCATCAGTTATCAATCAGGTGTGAAAACAGCGTGGTTATTCGCTCCCCATAGGCATCTTTATCAGGCAGCATCTCAGAATAAAACTGGCTTTAACCTTTAGGGAAACCTAGCCACCACTCTGTGAAAACACGGCAGCAGGCATATCTTGATTAAGAAGACACAGGACAAGTGGACGGTCAGCCACTTGATTAGCTGTCATTGATAATTTTAAGAAATGACTCTACATTTTTTCTTTTTTTTTTTTAAACTAAACAAAAGAATTGAAGGCATTTATTGCCTGTCTGGGTCTTCTGGAGTATCAGAATCACCCAATGACCTCTGACCGTAGTGACTGTACTTTTTTCATGTCAGCTGTTGTGCTTTAATTACTCATTTGTTTATATATTTTTCAAATAAAATATTAAATTGAAGGTTGGCTTTTCAGGACCTTACTGCCGCCTTTCAAAGCTTTCCAAGCACATGGGAGAAACTAACCGTTAAAACAGAAGGAAAAACCAGCCTTTACTTGCTTCCCTTAGAAATGTGGGAGTTGAGTGGACAAAAGTAACTCTGTACACGTTTGGAGAGGGATGGATTTCACCAGTAGGTGCCAGTGCAATTATGGGAAACATGTTTCTTAGGGTGCCTGGAAGGAAGGTGTTCATAAAGCTTGAGAGGGATGACTGCATAAATCCAGGGGTAGGTTCTTCAGCAAAAACAGAGTTCTGTGAATGCTTAAAGTAGTGGTATAAAGCTCTTCTAATTGACCCATGGCTCTGGAAGCTTTTCAGACTGTGCTGCTCAGGCGTACTTGTTATCTTTATTGGTTTTTTCCCCCTGCAAACTGCAGACATATATTTGAGTAGAGGTGCAGACCTCAAAGCTGCTTAATAGCAAAGTAAACCCAGTTGAAAACAGGCTTTTCACAGTTCCGTTAGAAATAGTCCACAGGTCCTAGGATCTCAGCGCCCACAGGTGGAAAACTTTCTTGGTGACTCATAAGCAGTGTATTGCACTCAAAACCCATGAAAATTCTGTTCATGATTGCAGGAAATTAGGTTAAAACTGAAAACAACAGAAAATGCAAAGCACAGCATTCCTCAAGGAGTGTTATGTCTTTGTTGTTGTTGGCCCATGGATGATAGAGTATGTGATTGCTGCTCTGTAAGCTTTCAGATTGAGAAACTCATTAACAATGTAAATGTAGCTTTGCCTTGCAGTGTATCTTGATCCAAGTTTTAAGGAGGGCTGTAGCTCTGGGCTTTAGCATGGTCCTGGGTTAATTCATAAAAAGTTTGGTCCTTGCAACATAAAATCGGGAAGCTGTGTCAGCTGGAGCTGGCTCAGGGCATCTCAGTGATGGAAATAAGGCAGATAAAAAGTCAAGCCAGGCTTCTATAATGGTAGGGTAAGAAACAGAAGAGCAGAGTCAGTACCCTCAAGGACTCAAATCCCAGTAGTGGAAACGAGCAGAACAAAGCCATCAAGTGCCCGTGGGGACCAGGTGCAGATGCCATTCCAGAATCCCAGTCTTCTCCCTAACAGCATTTACAAGAGACAGACAGCAGCTGGCCTGTACTCTAGCAGCCTACATTCTGATGTAGGCAGTCTGCTGCCCCTAACAGTCACATCCTGTGTTGCCCCAGCCAGTGGCTCTTTTTGGTGGCCAGGGTCTCTTCTGGCAGCTGCAAATTACTACAGTGCCAGCAGGGTCAACTCTGTAGTAGAAGAGGAGCAGAGTTAAGTGATGCTGCCCACCACCAGAGATCCCAAAGCTACTAAACTTCTCTTAGCCAAACAGTATCATGGTGATATAGAGGAAAAAGAAGAGATGCAAATTCAGGCTAATGCAAAGAAAGAAATCTATGATCGCTGTTCAAGTAGGTGGATATCAAAGGCTACAACGCCCAGTATTTTCTCAGCTCTTTCCTCAGAGGACGTTTATAAACCATTTATTTGATTTGAATCTGATGATTTTGTTTTTGCAAGCTTTCAGATGATTTATGATGTTATAAAAATGTGAGAAGGGACACATATTGAAGAGAAAAAACCAAACACTTGATACCCAGCATTTTACACAGAACTTTTTTCCCCTTTAGATAATTTTAAATAGGAGAAGACATCTTTTAAAACAGAGATATTATCTTTTTTTAATAAACTAACTTCAAGTTTTGTCAACTTGAGAGAAAGAGATGCTTCCAGAAGGAATTCAGCGCAGTCTAGAATACAGGTCTAGGATAGGTGATATTAATTTTCCTCTGAAATCGGCTGCTTTGCACCATTAGTTACAAAAAGACCCAAAGGTCTTTTAGATGGGCAAAACCAGGTAAGAATTCTATCTTTTGTGCGTTCCAAAATACAGTCAGATTAATAGAACTATCAGGTGCTAACTACAAACAATAAGTGTCACACACACACCCCTTTATAACACATTAATAGTTGAGAATAGTCAAGTATGAACAGTGGGTTTTGGTGCCTTAATTTGAAGTGTCAGCTTGTATTGCTGTAAAGGAACCTGCTTTTCAGAGAGTGTTCTTTATTCTGAAAAATGTGTGGTATGGTGATATGCCAGATTTGGCTCCCCAAAACTGTAGTCCATTCATAGTACAAGTTGTTTTGGAAAGTTTGGTCCTACGCTGTGCAGTGTACAAAAGTCTTCACAGCTGCATTGCCCAAGCAGACAGATGGTTTTACCTGTGAGGTTTTGTCACTTGTAAAATTCATGTTGTGAGTTGAGAAAGAGTGAGTTTTTGAGTGCTGCTTAATGTGGGTATTGGAGCAATAACAGCCTCAAACAAACACACCGGAAAAGTCATTCTTATCCAAATGGTTAGAGGAATGCTTCTCCTCCCTGAGTGCAGAAGTAGTTAGCTGAAAGATCAAAGCTATGGAGTCTGCTGGAAACCCAATGGTGTGAGACACCATAAAAGAGTTAAAAACGATGATGTAAATCATGTGTGTTGGTTAAAATGCTGTGAAAGCGCAGACAGAACCTAGAGGTATAATAAATAATGTTTGAATACCTGAGAGCCTTGTGGCCTCTCTGTCATTAATCAGAAACCACAGGCTGAGGGATTGGCTGGCAAAACATTAATCATTAAGCAATTAATTCCAGCCATGAAAACAAAACTTTGTGATTTCCTGAGTAGGTGGGATTGAAGAAGGCATGGCATGGTTTTGCTTTTTTGTCAGGAAATAAAGAAGTACTGACAAGGTCATACATTCATCATTCAGATGGGATAGAAAATCTCCTTTATTATCCAGTTCTTCTCTTCCTTTTGGTTATATGAAACAGGAAAAGGGAAAATCACCATGGGTTTTCCTAGGAAGCAGTGATGAGCCACTTGAGCTTAAACCTTTCTAGAAGTGTGATGGTAACAAAAAGGAGCTTTGTTTCTTGTGTCTTATATATTCCTCCAGCTGTCTGTAAAAGCATAATAGAATACCTTTTTTTTTTTCCTTCTTAGCAGCATCACCAGCCCTAACAGTTGTTTTGTGAAACTTGGGACATCTGTCTTTTGTCTGGTTTTTCTGTTTTCCTTCCATCACAGTTCTAATCATTTACTGATTACTTTAGGATCTTAGGATCTTTCTTTTCTTTTGGTATTTATAGCTATGGAGAAACCTAAAAATGCAAATATTAAAAGCTGAATAATCCGTGCGAAAGGAAAGTGAAGTTGAAAATGTGTACATGCTGATTTTGATTTTCTGCACATCATCTAATTTTGCAGATACTTTAATTGGTTCTAGAGACCTAGATTTTTTGGTTTTCGTATTTGAGGTTGGAAATGCTGCTAGAGCTGCCACTTGTATTTTTAAATGTGAGCTGTACACATAAAGAAGAATCTTAATCATGTTTTTCATGCAATTACTGAGTGGAAACCCATACCTTCAAGGGCTTTGAGCACAACTTTTCAACCAGCTTCAAGAGACCACCTTTCTGTATAACCTTACTGTAAAGTACTGTAGGATGCATGGTGAGGTGAGATATAATTAGAAGCTGCCTAAATAGTGACTGGGCTTTAGATAATTTGCCAAGTGCTATGTGAGAAGTTTGTCACAGAAACCAACTGTGGTTCTTTGGCTGGTACCTAACGCCTGGCCATCTGCCTCTCCAAGCTGACGGCACAAATAGTGGGGGAGCAACTGCGGGAGCTGTTACCTCAGATCAGCCTGGTCATTGCTTGCAGTAGGCGACAGACGTTGTTGCTGGCTTCTGAAAGATTATTGACAAACTTGAGACACCTTTTATTTTAAATACAGTAATTTTCCCATCAGTATTCAAATGCTAGCTGCTTCTTGCATGAAATGGGTGGAAATATCTAGCCACAAGACATGCAAGGAAAACTTGCAGCAAAATAGATGTCACAATTCTTGCAGTGTATCCTTTCAACTATACACACGTCATCAAAGCCAAGGGTTTTACTGCACTGAGTATGCTGCCTTAACTTTGTGTGGCAATGAGGTACCTCTACATACAGCAGTTTGCTTTCATCAGGCAGACAATCCATAACGTTTATCTCTTCCTCTGCTCAGAGGCAGAGTGCAGTACGTATAAGAAAATGTTACTTAGTTAAAATATTGCTATTCTCTTTAGAGATAGAGTTCCTGCCATAAGTGTAACAATAAACCCAAAGCTTAAAATTTGAGAACATGTTCAGCTGGGCAGAAGGCAATATATACTGAGAAACAAAATGTTTTGTCCTTGTCTTATGTCAGTGTCATTACAGAGAGCCAATTGCAACAGTCCCTAACTAAGCAAAACACTTAATGAGAGCAGAATCTGGCTGGCACAGGTGGCCTGAATTCATGCATTGTTGCTGAGATTCTGACTGTGATTATTTTTCATTTCCTCCTTCTTCCCTCGACTTGTGATTTAGTCTCGTTTGAGGAGACAGGATGTCGGCTTGAAAAGCCACCTGGATCAGCTAGACCAGCGAATAAGTGAGCTGAAATTGGATGTCAGTAAGACCTCCAGTGAATACTTGGATAGTGACAGCCGGCCCAGCTCAGGTAATATGCACTTGGCTATTTATTTCATGGGGTGTGGTGCTGGGAGAACTGAAGAGTGTCAACTGCTAAGCAAAACTCCCTGTATTGTTTGGTCAGAAACAGTGTCCCATGGCTGAGGTAGAGAGTAGTCATCTGGCACAGAGCTAACTCACAGAGCTGATAGGAATTCTACTGAGAAGCTGATTTAGTGGAAAGCATTCGTTCACTCAAACAGTATTTTTTCCGGATTTTTTAGTTTTATTTTAAAATTAACCTTGTACCCACACATGGAAGGAGGAAGAGACATGTACTTATTAATTACCTTAATTATTTATTACCTTATATTATTATATACCTTAGTTATTAATTACGTAAATTAACTATCCAGTGTAGCATGACCATTGGCAAAGTGGCTAGAGTACTTAAAAGAAGTGAAGGAAACCAACATCCATAGCAATGCTCTGCTTGAATCCAGGAGGGTTCTGAGCCTCACTAAGGCTTTGAAGATCACTAGTATTGGAGTGCTCCAGCCAAATGAATGTTTGATCATTTATGTAGAAACAAAACAGCTCTATTAAAAGACACTGAGAAAAACACCTCAAAAGTTTGCTGAGTAAAGATCTCACGAACAGAAAAATACTGGGTATTAGATTACTGGTGTGATTCACAGAGTTGTACTGCAGACTTTTATAGCTAGGATGTCTGTTAAAACCGGTTTCTGTTATCTAGTCTGAGACAATGAGAGTAGTTCTTTATAAACAGAATTTTGGAAAGCCTCAAATCTTCAGTGAGACAAGGAAAGATTTATTTTCTTTTTATACATCATACAGATTTGCAGCCTAGTGCTTAAAGGGGACATGAAACGTGCAAGTTTCTGTTGAGCATTTAAGTTCGGGATTTGTGCACTTGGGCACATGCACATAGTTCAAAAGGAAACAGCTTCTTTTCTGTTATAGAGAGGAATAATAAAAATTCCTGTCTTGAACTTATACAGAGCCTTTTTTAATAATTCCATAATTACTTGGCAATGATCTCAAGACCTGGAGAGGGAAGATAGCTTCCATTCTCTGCTCTTAGGCATTCCATCTATCATAGGCTTGGCAGCTCTGGTCACAGGCTAGTTTTACTCTACTTTCCCATCCAATATGTGTTTCTATTCACCCAGCACAAGTTACAACAGTGTAAGACAGCCCTATTTTACACCAGTTGCATAATAGTCCCCAAAGATGTTCTCCAGTGAAGAACTGGGCGTGATGGTGCTACACTTCACCCCATCCCACCCTCAGAACTAAGCAGGCATGTGTGTGCCAAGCTGGCTCAGGGCCTAAATAAATATGCAGAAGACCTGTAAAGTTTGGTTGAATTAGAGTATACCTCTGCTAATGTTACCTAAATAAATGATCATAAATTTAGGCTTGTGGCACATAGCAAGTGAAGATTTATTGTATTCTCTGCATTTTTCTTCTACAGAGCATGTTTAGTTGCTGTAAGTATGAAATATCCTATTTATTTTAACTCTGCAGGATTCTATGACCTGAGCGACGGTGGTTCTTGCTCACTATCCAATTCCTGTACCTCTGTGTACAGTGAATCCATCTCCTCCTCCCACACCAGTCTCTTGCCCAGCTCTCAACACCCTAAAGCAAGGCTCAGTGTGTTTGATTACCGACCCAAGTCTGCAGATGAAACTACTGTGCACACCACCAGCTTCCAACAGCAGGGGACCTATGTCAGTGATGGATGTCAGATTACAGCTAGCAGAGATGTTTCTGCAGCTCCTGCCAGGTCCAGACCAAGGCCAGTTTCCACAGGTAATTGATTGCAGAACTGGATACTTCTTTCAAGAGAAGAGCAGATTCCTGGTTATTCCTTTTAGGACCTTGTATGCCAATGTTTAATCAATATATAACTCTCCTTTTCAATACACAACAAGAGAATTGATCAAAACCACAGAGCCAAACGGTTTAGTGTCCAGCTTTCACTTGTCTCCATACTCAGATATTTTTAAACAATATCAAATACAAGGATGAAACAGTAACAAATACATGGATGAAACAAGAACAAATGTGAGGCCTCTGCATTTAGAAATGGAAAAACACTTTAGTGTATGAGATAAAATTGTAATGAATGTTGAGATATTTTTTTTAATTGACCTGCATGTGAAATCAGAAAATTTTCAATATTTGAAATACCTTGTGTGAAGGTGGAGGAATGTATGAAAGATCTAAAGTGAACTCAAAATTTCCTATTTATTTTAATTAATGTGGACTCAAACAATAACTCTTTTTCATAATTTAGTGTGTACAGTTAGGGACAACAGAGGCCAAAAGTTAATTCTCTAGAAAGCAGTCATGAGCCTAATAGTGGATCAACCATGAGTTTGCATCATACCTTTAGACAAAATGTACAAGTCCATTAACATTCCAAATCTCTTGTTTACCATCTGTGAAGTGACATCATATCACTTCTTATTATGGATTCTTATTATTCCATGGCTTCAAAGCAATCTTTTGTTAGTACAATTCTTATAGTGATCCAGTGAGATGTATGACAGTTCCATTATAGAAACAGAGAAGCCATAGGGAACATCATTCCAAGTACCATGTCACTCTGGAATCATTCCCACAACTGTTTGATGTGAGCTAACTCACCTCTGGCTTGCTTGGAATAGAAACAAAGACCTGTTCTATACCTATGTGTGCAGACACACCTGAAGAGATGGCGGTAAATTATAGCATAAAAGCAAAGTCTTCTCAAGGCTTGTCAAAGGCTGGGGATTAAGCTGAGCTTAATGATCCATGACTTCCACATTCAGATTACAGATCTTTTGCTCAATCAGAAACTTTCCTGTCTTGCAACATTTTGCTGAGACCCCAGGGACTTTATGGATTTTTGGATCTAGAAATAGACTAGCAAAAAAAGGAATAGTTGATATTGAGGGATGTGGGAGAGGGGCTACAGACCTCCTTCAGACATCCTTTCTTTTTCCACCACCATCTCCCTTCTTCCTGGCTACAACCTCTTACTTCCTTCCATATGAGAAACATAAGTAGTGGAGTAGTAGTGAGTGTAGTCTTGAAGAAACAATTCTTACGCAGTTGACCACACTGCAAGAAGTGAAGCAAGATGTTACTTCAGAAAATCATCATTTGGAGAGGGGAGGAAATTTCTCATTTCCACTCCTTAGCTTGACCCCACAGGTAACTGCAGGTACAAACCAGCTGCCGTTTCTTTCAGTGGCAAGCAGAAGGCTTGCTGAGACACCACAAGCACAGCTTTCTTCTGACAGCTTCCTGGTTTGTTTGTATGAGAGAGCACCATGCTGCCAACAATTTCCTAAAGAATTGTCATTATGAAATTAAGTTGTTTGAGAAACAATCTTCCTAATCTTTGCTGTAGCAGGTCTGTGAGTGCCTCAGGTAGGACACTGCAGACAACCCCAAATTTTGGAGTCTTTCCAAAGCATCCTGTCACAGGACATAAATAGCCACTGTTTGGGAATTACGTGGTTGAGTTTGATGGTTGGGTTTCATGTTAGCATGAAGCAGCCAGGAAAGTGGTTAGATGAGGATTTGTTGGCACTGAAGTCTGCATTGTTGTACAGAAAAATCCAAGATAACTGATTCCAGTATGTTTAGTCCCAGAGGTAACACAGCATCATAATGCTCTATTGGATGATGCATCTGAATGGAATAACCTTTCTTCACACAAAAACACAGCCTTTCCTCTCTGTGCACAGGGAATGCTTCTGAGGGAAAGGTGCAGGTGCAGCAGTCAAGAGTAACTTACAGCAACCTTGACTGTACTCCAGAATTGAAGAGATCTGAATTGGTGGCCATAAATGTCATCCTCAGGGACTGCTCTTTCCACCTGCCTGAGTAGTTGACCTTAGATTTTTTTTCCTCTGTCAAAGTAAAGGTTCTTTAATTCATTCTTCTATGGCTTCTCTGCTAAGAAATAAAAGTAGTCCCTTATTTTTGTTTAGTCAGGTTCCCATTATGTGTGACATTTTAGAACATTTTTATATATGCACAGATTTACTTTCATCCAAGTAGCACAGTTTAAATTTCTTGCAAAGGTGAGAGTTTTATTATTGGCATTAAAAGGCGTTCTAATCTCTGTTATGCTTAGGTGAATAAAAGCTTTAAGGTAATTCACTGACCTTGGAAGACTGAAATTACTTTCTTTATTCATGCTACTGATTTTAGTAAAAGCCATCACATCCCTGAGATAGCACTTTTAGTATGAGCCAGTTTGAATGTAATTGTCTGTGATTTAATTAGGTTGTTTATTTTCATCCACCGTGTAGGTGACTTGGAAAGACTCACTCCAGCAGATGCTAGATTTCAGAAAGAGATGGATCCCAAATCCATATTCCCTCTGTGCCGTAACGGAGACATACACTTGCTCAGCGTGGACCCCAAATTCCAGAATGACTTGGTCTCCAAGAATGGCATTGATGTGTATCCTTACCCAAGCCCCCTTCATGCTGTGGCTTTACAAAGTCCCCTTTTCTCCCTGGTGGGCACATCCTCAGAACTGGACTTCCAGGCTCCTCCCAACAAACCTATGCCTAGTGTGACAGGTCCCAACTTGATTAGGACTAGGCCAACCACTGAGGCCAAGCCAGGGGGTTACATCAATAAATTACTGCAGCTGACGAGATGCAAAGGGAACAGTCAGGCTGATGCCAGTGAATGGGTTCCAACAAAGAACCAGCCAGCCGCAATGCACCAGAGACTCATTATAACCCCCAGCACCGGCGGAGTGAAAATTAACAGCAGCAGTAGCCAGCTGGAAAAACAGGCGAGTTCTCTGGAAAGTAACAAAGCTGAAGGGAAGCTGTCGAGAGAGGTGTCAGAGGGGGAATGTGCCAAGCAGCGTGAGACCATGCGCTGTGTGAATGAAGAACAGCCATTCACTCGGCCTGATACAGAGCCATCAGCTGTGAATAGTTGTTACCCTGCCAAATCAGCAGCAAGGGGTTCTCCTCTGGCAGAAGCAATGGATAGCAGCATAGAGCACAGTTCATCGTACTCACAGCTGTGCCAGGAGGACTCTAGCCCAGAGACCTGGAATGCTAAAGCTGTCCCTCTCAGAAAGCTGCCCCTCAAAAGGTATGACAATGCCAAATCCACTAGCACTGGGGGTCATGAGCGAGTGACAGGAACTGAGTTTGTTCATGCTCAGTTTGTCCCTGCAGAATCCCACCAAGTCCGGGTAAAGTTTGCCAACTCCAAAACAAAGGCAGTGAAGATAAAGAGGAGGAACAGTGAAAAGGTACTACGGCCTGGGAAGCAAGCCTTCTGCATGGAAAAGGCAAGAGGGTCCCATGGGGCCACCAGGCTGCCTGCTGAGTGGAATCAGCCCCAAAGGCCACAAGGAGTGAAGAATCTCGTGCGGAGACCTTCTTATTCTGGTGACGTGACTGGCAGGTCATGCTCAGAATCTAGTCTGTTCCCTGTGCAAGTCAGGCTCCCCACCGTGTCATCCAGGCCAGAGCTCTACGGAGCCTCTGCCAGTGCACTGCATTCCCTCGAAGCAGCTTGTGTAGACACAGCCAACAAGAAGAAGCAGCGCAAGTGGCAGTCCACAGTGGAGATCTCTGCCAAGGCCAACCTGGCCAGCGTGTCTCGTAGCTTTGGCCTGGGAGCGCCAAGGCAGCCAGCAAGGAGAGCCGGTGTCCTGCGCACTGTCAGTATGAGGGCTCGCTCCAAGAATCAACGCCACGGAGATTATGCCAAAAGCGAGTCAGACCACTCAGAGTACTCTGCAGAGTGTTCTTCCCTCTTTCACTCCACAATCGCAGAGACCAGTGAAGGGGAGGTCAGCGATTTCACAACTAACCGTTTTGGGGACAGTGAGTCCAGTGAAAGCGATTTGGATGGCAGCAGTAACAGCAGCAGTCTTGCCCTTGACTACGATGAGGGGGATGAAAGTGAACTGATTTGGCCTGAAGGTTCAGTCAGACAATCAGGGACTGTCCAGGCCTCTTCCAAGCCTCTTCCCCCTGTGCCCAAAATCTGTCGCATCAAAGCTTCAAAGGCACTAAAGAAGAAGATAAGGAGATTCCAACCTGCCTCTCTGAAAGTCATGACCATGGTTTAAGGGAGAGCAAGCATCTGTTTCTTATAGTGAGGTATCCTGCTGGGTCTCATTTGCAAAACAAGAGAACCTATGTGCAGAGAAAAGGACTCGCTTAAAGGAACTGTGAACAATCCCTGAATCTACACAAGGGATTTTGTTAATGCCTGGACAGAAATGTCACTGTATCCAGTTCCCTCTTTTGCCATTTCTGTAAATATGAATCTCTGTATATTATGTGATGCCTTTTTTTACTATCCAGAAGGGTCACCATGGTGAAAATAAAAACATCCTCTGCCATAAGATTTTACAGGCAAACCTTGGTGGTTTGTTAACTATATGCACCCACTGAATCAGTCCCAGACAAAAAGGCTTCCTAAGAGGAAAGTGTACTTACCTCTTGTGAGAAATTCTTTGCAGTCTGAAGTCTGCATTAACCATCTAGCTCTCATTGTGGTCATATGGAAAAGCTCTGTGTTTGACATAGTTTCTTTCAGATCAACCATCCCATACCTTCTCCCAAACATCAGGAGGATGAGTCTGTTCTTCTATAAAAACATAGTATGTTTAATCAAGAAGACAAGTGTATTTGTGAATAACAGGACTTCAGTTTGTTTCCTTTTTTCAAAACTGAGAGTATAGGGTTGTTTTTTTCAACCCTTCTCTGTATTTTCCATGTTATTGTTCATTTGTTGAATGGATGAAAGAACATGAGGGCTCTGTGTCACAGTATATGAATAGCTGGGACTGAAATTATAGCTTTCCCCCTGAAATTGCAAACTCAATAAATATTATTTAATGTACTTCTGAAAGTTGTGCTTGTCTGACTTTGATGTCTAAAGAAGATTATTCTCTAATGTCGTGTCAGGAATGCAGAAGAGCTTTTTTTGGTGAAACAGATCTGTGTTTTTATGATCACTGCAGAGGTGTTCATTTATATTTTCAGAGGACCTCTGTAGCTCACTCAGAAACAGCATTTATTCACCCTCTACCTCAGGAAACCTGAGGTTAAAACACCTGCTTCTAAATAAGAGAATTTGAAAGCAGCATTTTTGTTGAAGACAGGGTAGTGTTTAAGTGACTCACTTAAATTGATGCAATTTTGTCACACTCTTAATTTAACACATGTATTTATGTAACCATAATGTGTTTTGAATGCATTTTAGGGCACCAATGTGAAGCTTTTTGTCAGGGTCTAAGAAGTCAATTTTTTGTGTTCAGATAAGCAGTCCTAGTTCTTTCGTCTGAGTACAGCAATCTGGAAGCTGAGCTGAAGTTCACCCTGAATTTATAAAATAGCAGGTATTATCCTCCTATCCTATTTCAGTGCCCAATCTGAATACATTCCTGGCTTAGGAGATACAGGCATTACTTCATTCTGTATTGGGTCTGAAACAAAAGGCAAGTACTTTGCAGAAACTGGTAAAAGAGTGCTTGTTTACTCCAAGGATTCATTAGCAAACAGAAGTATTGAAAGACTAAACTTTTACCCAATGTCTTCTATTCTTTGGAAGCTATGTTATGGTTTTAAACCGCTCAGTTTTCAAATAATTTTTGGAAAATAAGAACACTAAAAGTTATGTAAAGTGATTTAAGTCAAGTATTCTAGCTAGCGCTTACTGTAACTAGGAAAATATTATGTTTTAGAGAAATATATTTAAACATTTTTTCATGGTTCCAAGAGTATTGGACATAATCACCCGAGTAGGATTAATGGAAGAATTTCACAGGTCTGGCAGTGGTTTCTTGTTCAGCATGTCTAGCAACAGAACAAACAAAATAGTGATTTATGCTTTGTTGACTTTTTACACCACAAAAGGATTCTTTTTTCCATTTACACAAAAGGTTTCATTTGGAGCAGTGTGTCAGAAGTTACATATGATCCTTTAATCCATGGATTTTTCTGTGTTGGGGTGGGGTTTATTAGTTACATAGGAATTTTGAGGGTGTTCTTTTCATGAAGGAGGAAATTGTTCCTAAGTAGAAAACTGCTCTGGGTAGTAGCATTCTGAAACCTGGTAAAAACTGCCGCCCAGTAGCTCCCTGCCCATTTATCAGAGTAAGCTCAAACAGTAAGTTTGTGGTCCCACAACTCAGTAAATCCTGCTTTAGGGTTCTTAATACTCTGTCAGAAATGTTGCCAGACACATGATGAAAGTGCTGATCCAGAATGAACTCACACTGCCAATTCAAATAAAGAAAAATGATGACTTAATTTTGTACTGACAGGTTTTATGCCAGATGAGGTATCAGTGCTTCTACAACTCACACTTTCTGCCAGGTCAGATACCATCTCTCCTCCCAGTGCCGGCATAAAAAGCCAACATAAAAGGATAAATCTGACACAAACGTCATCCCGTGCCTTGGCTAATTTGACAGAAACATGATTATGTGCCCACACTTGACCGAGGGGAAACCTGTGGTGCTGGAGAACTCCAGCAATGCAGAGAACCTGCTCTTAGGTGCCGAGGCATCACCATGTGCAGCGATGCTACTGAGTTGTGACTTTTTGGCAAGGGCAGAACTGGTAGCGTTACCTCTCTGTACTCTGGGACATTGAACCTTCTACCTAGCACTGTGCTTTGGAAACACTGCTATCCTCTGCTGCAGCATAAACTACACTGGGACCAGAGCTCTGGAGGGAAGAAATAGAACAGTGCAAAGCAGGGCAGAGATATGGGTGGCTGATAGTCCAGATATCCTAGAACCAAAAATATGATAATAGTTCAGTACACTGTAGTATATTTTGTTGGCAAGTACACTGAGAATTTTGATAACCACTGGGTATGCGTGTGATGCCTCTGTTCATCAGAGATTGAGCTGACAGCACCCCAGAATACTGCCTAAGCAAATATATCTGGAACATACTTAAAACCAAAAAATGTCAATAAATACTCTGATGCACTATTCTTTCATGTGTATGTACTAAACATCATAAAAACATCTTTCAGGTTCATATGAAGCCTCATCGTGAAAATAAGGGTTGCCTAGCCTTACTCATGGCCATACAAAATAGAAATATTCATTGTCTATTTTCCCTTCCAGAAGGAATCCACAAAATCTTTTTACCTCGAAGCACCTTAAAAGGCCCAAGAGAATGCAAAAAATGTCAGTTGGTGATTCAATTAGAAGTCTAGCACCAAACCTGATACACTTCAGGAGCCAGAAGTTTAGCACTTTCACTGTGATTTGATTAGCAAGTGTATGGCTGCTTCAGAGCAGCTTTATGCAGTGTCTCTCTCTGTTGCAGTAGCTAACATCTGTCATCATTGCTCCAAGCTCTAGTGAATCAAAATCATCCACTGCTGAAATCTGTGTGCCAGATCAGCAGTTTCCCTCTGTCATAAGCAGACATTTACACTTAAGTGTAGGAGCAAATTGCTCCTAAACCACAAAGGAAAGAAAAGAAAGTTAAAAAGAGAGAACAGAAAGGGAATTAAGGAAGCTTTAAGAGCAATTTGCAGAATAGATCATAATTATGATTTTAAAAACTTCATTAATCCTTTTATTGCTCAAACAATTTTGGAACTGGATAATTACTAGCCTTCTTGGCCATGACACAATCTTAAATTTCCAAGTCCACATCCATTACCTAAACCACAGGACAGAGTCAGAGAACTGATGTTTTGTTGGAGGCACCATCCTTCAGACCAGATCTTTTGTTTGGAGTGACTTCTGCTCTAGCAGGGCATTGGCCAAAAGAAAGGCAGTTATCATTTGGTACATCTCAAAACCAGCTATGACTGATTTTCATACTGATGAACCTGATCCTAGTGGACACTTTAAGTCTGTGCTGGAGTCTGTTTTGTGTTTTCTTCCCCATCCTAGTCTGAAGTTCTGAAGGGGTGGGAGCTGAAGGTGAGAGGTGCTGCAGGAGCTGCTGAAAGGCAGGCAATAGTAATGGCTCTTTGGAGAGTGAGTTGCTTCCAGCAGAACGAGGCAGGCTGAGGATGGCACCAAAGGGTTCCGGCCCCACCAGCCTTTGCTAGCTTTTTTACAGTTCTGATAGGACTGTAATCCAGCCCCAGACTGCAGTGCTGGGATTTGGATGCTACACTTGAAATACAGTCCACCATCACCCAAAACCACAAGCCAATCCCTCCCGAGTCAGGGAGTGTCCCAACCCAGAGTCCCTCCAGACTACCAAGTGCAAAATCCCCAGTTAGGCCAAGATTGCTCAAAAGAAGTATGCAGCAAAATAAGGCACGTGTGACTGCTACCTCTGACAGGGAATAAGAAGAACAGCATGCCATGGAAGGACTATCTTATAGCTACAATTCTGAAGCAATAACAGTGGCTTTCATTTGCCAGTCCCTTTTGAGACCTCCTCAACCCTACTGAGGCTCAAGGGATCACCCCAGCTGTGCTCAGTAGAAGAGAGTAGCTCTGCTTTCAACTACAGCGGCCCCTCTGCCCTGCACACCACAGCAAACCCTTTGACTCCTGTGGAGAGCTTGTAGTACCTATTGCTCCTTAACCATGAATTCAGTCCTCCTCACTCAACACCAACCCCAGGAAGTTTCCCTGAGATGAGAAGCTGGAATGTCCATGCAAAGGGAAGAAACATATGTTAACCTGGAATACAAGGAGTCCTATGTCTGAAACTTGCCTCTGAGGAATACAAATATACAATTACACCAATACAGCATTTAAGCAGTTTCCTGTATCTTATATGGATGTTAAGGAGACCTGTAATTCCAACATTACCTGCTACTCTGCATGGACAGCTACTGCGATACTTCAGCTACGGATGAAGAGTGATGAACAGGAAAATGCTCAACTAAGGTCAGTTTTTTGGTATTTATACTTTTCAGGTTTGAAGCCATCATAGTATACCTCGTTATACTGCAATGTAGAACATTAGCAGAATAACAGCTGAAATGAGCAGAAGTCCAGCCTCCATCAATTCTACTAATTCCATGTGTTATCATTATAATCAAGCCTGGAGACTGCTTTTTAGCTAATACTGATTTTTTTTTTCAAGCATTCCAATGTTCTTCCTTTCTTTTCCTCTTTCAGCATTTGTAACTAGGGATCAAGGGCATCGAATTTACCCATGACACAATTCCTGGTACGTCACTGGAGCTACCCCACATTTATGCCCCCTCATGCTGTTGTCAAGATGTCAGCAAGTAGGTTGATTGGCATGACAGATGGAAAAGTAGGAGGATTTCAGACCTTGCTTTCATTCTTGATTGGGCTGCAGGCTGTGGAAATAGCTGTGTTTACGGCTCGTTTGGCTGGGGAGAATGCTGCTGCCATGTCACATCCGTGTTAGTGATGGATCAGGGGAGATGGTTAGGGCTTTGCACAGTGATGGCATTTCATGTTTATTCTGGTTTTCAATACACAAACTGAAAGAGTGTCAGCAGTCTGCTGATTCTGTAAAGCTGCAAATCGGGAGGAGAAAGGCCATGGATCACAATGACCAGGCAGCACTGATCAGGCAATGCTGAACCCAAACTGTAGACTTACAAGCCCAAAAGAAGAATCTAAGTTTCAGCAGACTTGAACAACTGGATGTGCTCAAAAGCTCTGTCAGATTACTCTGGATGCCTAGTCTTCAGCCCAGGATTGAGATGTCAGTCTAGCAAGTTGCTCTGAGAAATATGCATTACTTCAAACCTTCAGTCCTACATTTACATGTAATATTTTCTCACCTTTCCAGCACCTCAAAAGTGACTTTAAAAAAGCTAAAGGTTCTAACTCATGCAATACATCATTATGTTTAAGACTCTACCAAACTTTCTACAATTTACAAGGTGGAATGATATGGACATTGACATTCTAAACAAAAGTATGCTTCAGCAGGAATCCAGAAATGAAACTTGCAC